CGCCAGGCGCATGTGCGTGCGTGCCCAAGATCCCAAGAGGGGAATGGAGGAGAAGGGATTGCAGCATGGCCATCCCCCCTGGGGGGTGATTTCCTTCTTTCTGTCTCTGTCTGGCGAGCGCACGTGCCCTGTAGCAAAAATCTCTTTAAAAAATAAATAAATAACAAATAACAAATAGTAGTAGTGGTTTGTAGCATATTGTGATGACCAAGGAAATATCTTTTTCCAAAAATTGAACTTAGAGTCCACCTCAGAGTTTGAAAAAAAGATAGTCTGAAATGACTAGTCTGCTTGGGTCTTTCACTGTCACTAGCTTCAGTGGTTACTGACTGCTGGACAGTCATGTTTCATCTACATTCTATGCCCACCTCTTCACTGCTTCCACCTCTAAGTAAAAAGGAAACTGAGTTTTTAAAGAACCATTCCAGTAATGTTATTTTATTCATAAATATTTCAGTGTTTATCCCTTAGAGATGCAGAGCTAGCCACAGAATTTACAATACCATTATTCTACCCCAGAAAACAATGGTAATTCTTTAGCTCTTTTTCCCTTAAGTCATGTTTCAGTGTCTTTAATTATCTTATTAGTAGTTTTTAAAACAGTTGGCTTGTTCAAATTAGGATCCAAATAAGGTCTGCACATTGCATTTGATGAAAATGGTGCCCTTTTTTTGAGGGGGATGCTATTAGGAATGTGCCAGAGGCCAGAGAGAGACATAGAGGTTAGGGGGAGTGAGAGAGCACACTCATGGTGCAATCCCTTCTCCATTTTCCTCTCTGGGTTTTGGGCATGCACACACCTGTGCTAGGTGTGTTTTTCAAGCTGGCAATCCTGGACTTGAACTGTGTAGTTGGCTATGTGGGATCGTCACCTTAACCACCGACTGCCCCCAAAATGGCTCTTTGCTCTCAAATTTGTACGCGCTTGCTCTGTTTTTTTCTTTTTTTTCTTTTTAATTTAACAGTTGAAACTGTGGTGGTTTGTCTTGTGAAGTTTCCCATATGCTTGTTTTTGCTGATCACTTCATGTGCTTGAGACCTTTTGGCTCATGGGGCTAAGTTTGAAAGGATCACTCTTGACTTTATGGCAAAGAAGTTGAGAAGAAACTAACTACCAAGCCTCATTTAAAAATGAACCCCTGGGGGGAACCAGCAGTTAGCATAATGGCTATATCGCTGGACTCCCACGTGGTCGACTGTGGTTCGCGTCCTGGACCCGGTGATTAAAACTCACACCGGGCGCATGTGCGTGCATGCCCAGGATCCCGAGAGGAGAATGGAGGAGAGGGGATTGCTGCATGACCATCCCCCCTGGGGGGTGATTTCTCACTTTCTGTCTCTATGTCTCTGTCTGTCTGTCTGGCGAGTGCACGCGCCCTATGGCAAAAACATCAAAAAAAAAAAAAACAAACCCTGGGGACCAGCAGATGGGGTAATGGAGTCACTGGGCTCCCCCTTAGTCCACTGCTATTTGAGTCCTGGACCCTTCTGCCTAAAACTCATGTGGGGTGCATGTGCTTGCACACTCAACATCCCGAGAGGAGAGGAGAAGGGATTGTGGCATGGTCATCCTCGGGTGGGTGATTTCTCACTTTTGTCTCTCTGGCGAGCACACACACCCTACGGCAAAAATCTCTCTTTAAAAAATATTAGCCCCTGGGACCAGGAGTTAGTGTAATGGCTGTGTGCAGTTCGAGTCCTGGACCCGGTGGCTTAAACTCAAGCCAGGTGCGCATGCATGTGTGCCTGCCCAAGATCCCAAGAGGAGAATGGAGAAGGGATTGTGGCATGGCCATTCCCTCTGATGGGGGATTTCTCGCTTGCTGTCTCTCTCTGTCTTTCTGGCGAGCACACACGCCCTATAGAAAAAAAAACCTCCAAAAAAATGAACCCCTAACTATGAACTCAGGACTGTTAGGGACCTAATAGACTACACAGTACAAAACTATCCTCCCTCTGTTTCATGTGGTCTGAAGGGTCTGAGTCTTGGATTTTCCATGTGGAACTGGGAAGAGATTCTGACTCTTGGCCTCTAAGAGAGTCTTAGGTGTTCTGCCCCTTGTGTCTTTATAGTTCTCTTTCTCTCACACTAATGTCTCACCCTTTGCTCTGCTCACAGGAGGTTCACGATACAGAAGTCTTAGCTCTTTGTGGGCAATTCCAAATCTGTTTTTAAGTTAAATTCACTGCTTCTGGCTATCTGCTGAA